AAGTTCATAAAAAATGGCAGACTTTTTATCACCAGCTCCTTATCAGAGATCTATAGATCAAAAAATACAGTCATATAAATAATGCAAAATAAATTTTATTGCAGAAAAGAGAGATAGAGCTATTTGAACAGATACAGTATACATTGACTGTTCAGGTGTCTGAAGAAGTAAAGATATTTAATGACTAATATAAGTTCATCTTCCTTCTTGATTACACAGTCTACAGAGCTGATGATGATCACTGTAACTGAGAATTTATGAAAAAGTGCCTGAAAAACTGCTGATCTGAAAGATTACACAGCCCTCTTAAAAAATGACAGACAACTGCAAAGAACATCCATATATGTTATGCTTCTGCAGTGCAGAAAATATAATAAACTTCTAAATCCAGATCTAAAAAGACCGAGATGCCCAAAATGGTACCTAATTACCAGACTTAGGCACTGGAAACTAGGTACTAAAATTCCAAACTTCAGCTACTTCATCTGTTAATTAAAGTCCACAGGCAGGCAGCTGCTGAGTAGAGAGAGACAAGATCCCCAGTCAGAATAGCTAGGAAGTCTGTTTAAATCTTAGCATGGAAAGACGAAGGTTGAACTTCCATCCTGTGCAGTCCAGGATGGCAATTTCTTTGCCCAAGCAATGCAGAGGCGCCATGCAATATGGCATTGATACAGCTGGTGATACACGACATGCTTTGAAGGAATGTGGCTACTGTAGAAGGTGAATGCCTCAGGTTGAGGCTTGTTCATTCTTAGGAAGAAAGTTTACAACTTCAGGAGAAGTTTCAGGGCCAATGATGCTGTTTTGCAAAAAACATCCAAAGGAAACACTTTAAGATTAACATGGTCTCTGTGTTTCCTCATTGGCTGACTCTCAGGGAGCATTTGCTCAGCAGATTGTGAGGCTCCAGATCTCCTTCAATTTGCAGCCCCCAGATAGTACAGGCAGAGCAGGCACATAACGCTGGGCCTCCAGCTCCACTTGAGAGGCCACACACCGAAAAGTTCAGAGTTGCAATGCACCCTTTCCCTATTTAGCTCTTTTTACTCTTACTCTATTTCTTACTATGCTTTCACTTTAATGACTAATATTTTGGGTGTTTTTGAGGGGAGTTGTTTCTCATCTTTGTATACTTTCACTAGCATGATTTTACCTAAATAAAAGTCCTGTTTCTATAGAATCTAGTTTACTAATTTTAAGAGACTTCTACAATAGTTTTAAGGTCTTATCACCTACAAGCAACAAATAATTGGAACACTTAACTTGGGCTCACTGCACAAAAGTGGGATGATATACGCAAAATTTTAAGTGTACCAGTGGAAAACAAATAAGTACCAGAAAGTTTTCTTTCTGAAAAAGTTGAAAAAGATGAGATGTCACTAAGTTTCTCAAAGATTGCTCTGAATGTTCTCTAATAAGGAATAAATTTTCTGATAAGCTCAAGGGATGTGATAAGCTCAAGAGACGTTAGTGGTATGAAACATCAGATTGCAAATGACTACCCCAGCCTGGACATGTGAAACCTAACTAGTAGGCTTACACAAAGAATTATCCTTGGGTTTCATAATTACATTATTTTACTATGCTGAATGCTAAAAGACAGTGACCTCCCTGTCACCACGGTGACTTCTTTTGTCCACCCATGAGATATTACTACTTCATAATAACAAGTAGAAAAGCCCCCCCCAACCATGTTTAAAATATCTATGAAGAAACAATACCCGATGAAGCGAAATGAAACTGTAAGCTATAAACTCCCACAAATGAAAAAGAGTTTGAAAAGTTCAAATTTAGTTACTAGGAAACATTTCTAAATATCCGTAACTAAGTGACTGGAAGCACTGCCAACACTGGATTAGCCCTGTGACACATGCCATTCCTCTTGTCATACACCAGAGGATACATGGAGTGACGGGAATAAATTAAAATTTAATCTTTCAGATGTCTGTCAGTTTTCAGAACTCCCTATGAGGCTGTTCATACAGAGTCAAAACAGAAGCCTTTTAACTGCTCTGAAAGCAAGCCAGACACCATTTTCTGTACATTGAAATGACAGAAGGTTTGGTCCTTCTCAACTGTCATTAGTCTACTGTTGATTTAATGTTCAAATGAATATTGTTTTACAATTATTTAATCAGAATTAATGAGATAGTTACACATTTTTAGGAAACTTGGGGAAATCATCTTGTCTCAGTGTACTCATCTAAACAAAAAAATGGAAGGAAATATAACATCATTTTTTCACACTAGGCTGAAAGTATTTTAATACTAATCAATGTTTATTTATGCTATGAATTTCTACTTTACAATATATTAATGCATTATACATCTTCAACCTCACCAACACAAAAATAGGCATCAGAGAGTTTTTTTGTACCTTTGTGTTCCCCAAGACTCCTTACAAAACCATATGACTGCTCCTGCAGAGATCACTTAGAATTCTATCAGTTTATAACAGGTACCATTATTCAAAGAAAAATGTCCCTAGCATCCTCCAGAAACAGCATCTTTTTGTGCTTCCTGTGGCCAGAAGCCAGGATACTAGAAAGCCTTACTCTGGGCCAGACACAGATTCATTAAGATTAGATGGAAGATCTGTTACTCCATCTAGTCCCCTTCTAGATCTTGGAAATGAGAAAAACAACATTATTCAGTGTTTCTCATCTGTACAAAAAATAGGATCAATATGTCCCTTTTGCAAGACAACAGGAGTTGGCACTGGTATGCTACAGTGTTCTTTCAGTAGCAGAATAACAGATTACAGTGCCACCAATTTACAAACCCTATGTTAATAATTTTCGAGCATTTGAAATGTTTAAAAATATAAAAAGAATGTACCACAAATAAAAAAAAATATGCTTCAGAGACACTGGGATTCATTTTATTCTCATTTATACATGTATCAAGAACAAGTGTAAATCCAGCAGAATTATACTAGTAGAAAAGTGGCAGAGGAGAGGAATTCAGCATGTTGTAAAGAACATGCAGTAGATCATTTAATGTAATCTGCCACATGAATCTTAGGTGTACCAATTCACCAAGGCAGAGGAGCACATAAAGTTGGCTGTATTTGACCTATTTAGAACCAGAGCTGGATGAGGATGGAATGTATCTATCAACGCTGCAGATGCTGGGCCATTACAGCTTCCTCAGTACCCTAATGACTGTAATCCACTCATGAATCAGTCATGAGTTACACAAAAGAGGCAGCTGATACTGAGCTTACATCAGAAAATGGCATGCAAAAACCAAAATGAAATACATTTACAGCTGAACAACAATTATGTAACCAAATATACCATGAACTATATATGCATGAATTTTCACTGAACTCGCCCCACAGCAGAGTGCTGAGGAACACGTTTCAAATTTTATGTATTTTTACATATTTATATATTTACAAAGTTCAGCTACAGTGAGCTCACTCACTACTATCTATACAAAACCTGAGCATGATCAACACTTTTCTATACAATACACAAAAAGGACAACAAAACCAAAGCGAGCCAATACAAAACCTACTAAAGACAAGGTTTTGAAAAGGTGGGGCCAGTGAGACAGCAGAGCAGTAGCAACCATACAGTGTAGTCAGTGACATTATCATGCCAAGTGAGGGTAGAAAACAGCAGATACAAATATCTGACAGCTGTTGACCAAATTAGAAGAGCAAGGTAAATGTCACCTGAAGATGCCGACAGTATAATGAAAACAAAAGACTGCCTTCAAGCCCTGCATTACCTAACAGTGATAAAAGAGCCAAGGTGAGCCTCTGCTCCAAACTGCATTTAGAGTCCAGCATAGCAATGATTTGCTGGAGAAGGAATAAAGAATTGCTACGGTCTGCTAACTGATTTTCAAGGATATAAACATGTAACAAGTACTGCTCTGCCACTGACAGTGCTGTCTGTCAGCTAGCTAGAGTGTAAGAAGCGTGAGTTAAAAACACTTCTCAGATTAATTGTTAAATAATGATGTTACAATGCAGAGAAGATACTCTAGGTTGCTGTATTTCAGGTAGGCTAAGAGGCTAGAGAAGGACACAAGAGAAATGTTTTTGCTCTGGATAATGGAGTGTGAAAACATGATTAGGCCCATTTTACATGTGCAATTATATTACAACTTCTTTTGCCTAGGAACTGGTTCATTTTTTTCAGCGAGCCATTTACAAAATTTGAACATGGTGTTCATACACAGCCAGATCCATGCTTGCCGTAGGCAATGAGGCATATTATCAACCTGCAAATCCATCTGCGTTACTCAAGCTATTGAGATGTCTGACAAATTACTGCAGTGTGACATATCATACTTTGTTGCACACTGGATTACAGCTGAAAAGGTGAAGTTTTTTTGAAAATGGATTATCTTCTTTGGTTTCCTCACACATGGGGAAAACTAATAATAATAAAAAAAATAAACTGGCTGAAATTTCCAGAAAATTTTACAGTGCATCATTCCCTTGGTGCTCCACAATTAGTATCTTGCATCTGCCGGGCTTTCCATAGGAAAATTAATTCAGCCTGTCATAAGTGTACTGTTACCATGTCAAAACTCCCAGTAACGTTTTGTAACTTCACAACAAAAGAGTGGGCCATCCCAATAGAAACACCTACAAGTCAATGCATATATGTGGGAGAAGGGCAAACTATTTGCTGTCACACTTTTCACTGGTGGGAGGGCACAAAGGAATCTGTCTGTGTTTTGGGTTTTTTTGTCTTCTACTGCTGTGTAAAATTAATATGCTCCTCATGTTTCATATTCATCTGCAAATGTGAAAGTATCTGAAATCCTGAATCTCTCTCTCCAGAATTCTCTGCTGCTGGGAGGACAGAAGACAGTAAATAGAAAAGAGACCAAACCAGTTACCAAAGTAAGATACCTTTCTTCTGTCTCTGGCAGCCAGAAGCTCTTTTTCTCCAGTGGGAAAAACATACTTTCTTGTTTCTCCACTGAGAGGTTTCCCACCACAGTCTGCATGGTCAGACTTCCTCTCATTAGCGATGGAGGTATGTGTCAGTAGCTAGTTTTCTGGGTCTACCTCTACTCCTTCCAGTCTTCTCATTTTTGGGTCTGATTGTGATCTTACTTTGACCAAATTTTGAGTAGCACAACTTCACCAACTTCAGGGAAACTGAATTTGATTTACAGTGGTGTAGTTATATTAAACTAATGATTTTGACATGATCATTGTCAGTGTTAGACTCCTTTTGCAAAAAGCAGATGTTGTCGTCCCCCCCTCCCCTTTGCTGTCACTATGGCAACAACATCCAGTGAGTTGCTGTGACAGCATGGGCAGGGGTGGCAGTTCTGATGAAAATGAAGCCGTAAAACTATTCCTCTTGGCAACAAATTAAATCTGAAGTAGAGTCATATTACTATTTTCTCTCCATACGTCTATTTTTTCCATGCTATCTTTCCACCATATTGTTAAAAATCCCTGGTTGCTATTTCTAAACCACGTGATGCATGAAAAGTTTTTTGCTTCGGTTCTTTAAGTACTTTAAGATTGGAGAGTGCTGAAGCAGAGTTCTCAGGCTAATAAATTCAGGATTTAGCATTTACCTTGGCTCTTTAAGGTAATATTTTGTTGCTTCTTGTAATTACCAGAAAGCCCTGAGGGGACCTTGAGTGATATATACAGTATAAATATGAATATTGATTCAGTCAGTCAGTCAGCTAGGCATTATTTTATATAGTACATCTGCCTTTCAGTGTTCATCTTTGGTCACTGTAGACAAATAATGCAAAAGGAATTAGAACCATAAATAAAGCTTCTGCACAGGAAGAATAGTTCTGATGGAAGATGTAGTACATGATAAATATGCACGAGAGCAATTTATTAATAAGATAACTAGTATTCTAGCTTCTGTAGTAGCACTCTCAATCGTGCCATGAACCAGATGCCAACCTTGTTCCCTAGAGCCCAGCTATTAATTCCTCGGCTAAGCAACAATATAAGCAACATTACTTAAAACATGGGCTGTTTTTCCTCTACTCTTTAACCATGCAACTGTGCTGAAATTGTAATAAAAAGAGATACGGAGCTCAGCCAGACAGTAATTTGCAATCCAGTCAAGTGGATATAACTGCACAGAGACAGGTTTTTTCTTTTT